TTAGACTCAATCAACGTTGCTGTTTAATGAAAATACGTTGCATTATGGTTTGTTTATTGTTATAGTTTATTATTATATTCTTTTTACTTATGGTTGCTCTCAAAAGGGCCGTTTGTTTTGAATATTTTCGGGTTTTTTGATGACGTCATCGTCCATACGAGGCGTACGTAAAACAGAGGGTTCGTATAACTGGGGTACGTAAAAACGAGGTTCTACTGTATTTGCAAATTCACTGAACAAGAGTGAAAATGCTCTACGTTTCATAATGGCATCACTTGTATACCATTCATATAGCACAAATATCCATTTTCAAGGAACTGCCCAATGCGTTTGGATACCGTTTCACTTATATTATTATTATTGTGTAACATTTTATTCAAAAATTGAATACATTCTTCACAAGAAGAAAAGAGCTAAAACAACCTGATGACAAAGGATCGATCATTATTATTATTTTTATAATTATTATTATTTTTTTTTTTTTTAACCCGGTGGCAGGGTAGCAATTAACGCTCTCTCCAAATTTAGAAGAGCCGAAGCGTCAAAGGAGACAAAGTCCCCTACAACCCACTCACATTGTAGTAGGTGTTCGCGCTGGAGGTTCTCTGCGGAACCACATAATCTACACCTGCAGTCGCAGTTGAGATGGAAGCATGAACGCTTATAGCACCAAAGCGAGTGGAAGGCTGATCCTAACCATCTCCCCCATACCTTCCTGTGAGACCCCGTTAGTTCCACTGAAGGGGAACGGCACCGAACAGCTAGAGGGGCTCCTTCGCAAAAATGTGCCTTTATCAATGGCCCCGCAGCAAGCCATCCAGAGGCTTCTAGAATATGGATGGATGAGGCGAACTTTGAGATACCCCACCAAAATTTAAGCAAGCGGCAGATAAAATCTAAAGCGTGTTGTTATAATGCTATCCTCCGCGGTAAGTCTGTTAACGAGCGCGGAGATACCGTATGTGGCAGAAGGTATGACTACCGAGAGAAACAGACGTTCCAGAGATTCTAATGTCATGCGAGCTAGAGGCATATTGATGGCTAATCTTGCGCAAGCGGAAATTCCCTCTTATATACAGTAATAGGCAATACCTGTACAGTATTATTATAATAATAATAGGCAGCTTTAAAAACTCACCCTTTTAATGTGTATTTTCTTACATTTTTTCTCCTGGCATTTTCATTTTTATTGTTAATAAGCGCATTGAGGCTTTTAGCATAACGCGCTACAGTATACAAGCCAAAGTTATATTATTGCTATATTATTATAATTATTATTATTATTATTAAAGAAAAAACAAAAGTTTCAACAGTCATTTTGATATAGACATTTTATTACTATTTTGTGTAACTCGCACATACATGATGCAACACTCTGACAACATTGTCTATTGAGTAACGTAGAATAACATACAGTAGTATAATTAATGTCAAAACTGAGCATTTGCAGAACTACTCTGCTGCTTGTATATTACTTTAAACGGGCATAAATGAATATTGTCCTGGAATAACAAGTAACAGTACAATATTTACTGTGACTTTATTTTTATGAGAATTTAAATCAAATTGTACCGTGTATTTTAGTTATAATATAGATGGCTTAATATTTCAATGTCATTTAATAGTTAAAAATTTTAACATTGTTTGCTTCGTGGTTTGCTACTGCTACTCTTCTTGGTCTATTAGAGATCACAGTAATTCCTCCTGGGGTACTTAATCCATCATCTTCATGATCTATTCGTTTAATAAAGACACCATTTTTATCAAATAATTGTAGTTTATGATTACTTGACACTATTATATTTTCATCCATATCCATGGTTACACCACAAGGACCCCTTACTTTACCATCTTCCTTACCACAGCCTACAAGGATTCGCATAAACTTATCATGTGCATCAAACATTTGTATTCTATTATTGGCGAAGTCAGCAATGATCATATGACCTTCCTTGGTTAAAGTAACATCAACTGGTTGATTCATCTGACCTACTTCACTACCCTCTGAACCTATCTTACCTAGTAGTCTACCATCATCAACATTGAATTTAAACACACAGTGAGCCTCGCTATCTGCTACATACAGGACTCCAGTTTTTTTGTTTACTGTCAATCCCTCTGGATATTTCAATATTCCTTTACCAAATGAGATGATTTCTTTAAATTTATCATCACACATTACAACACATTTTCCTAAGTAATCACTGTACACCATGTGACCATCACCCATTAGATGCATGCTATGGACCTCCACATCTTGGGGCACCTGTATCTTAGAAACAAAAGAACCTGATTGATTGAACTTTAATATATCTTTACTACCACTAGATACTAATATGCATCCATCTGTGTCTAACACTACACCTGACACATTATTTTCTTTCCTATGTTCTTTATAATCTGATATGTTACCAATGGTATGTACAAGTCCCAGTGATTCTACCTTAATATTCACTGGAGATCCTTTGATGTGCACCTCTCCCGCAATAATCTTCATTTGCCAGTCACCTTCCACATTGCATCTACCTGTTATTTTGTACTCTCCATTTCCTTGATATTTTACATCAGTGGCTGATTCTTCATATGATGGGTTGCTTAGAGTTGCAGATAATTTACTTGCATCGCTCTCACTTAAGCTTGATACGGTTACTACAAATGTTTGTCCTTTTGTGACGGTAATTGCTTCATCATCTTGATCAACCTTGTACATGCCATCAACAGTTGTGATTTTACCGATGCATTCAGTATTCATTACCTCATCCAAGTGTGTAGATGGAATGAAAGTTGGTGTAATATTTTTTTTAGGAAATGATTTATCAAAATCAGTTCCTAAAATCTCATCTCTGACAGTGTTGATAGTTGTCTTATGGGATTCAAGAGTTTCAGTTTCTTGTGGTCTGTTCATCATTGTACTGATTGAGGCCATCACATTATTAACTTTAGTCAGCTTTGTATCAATATTCTTTACTTGACTATCAATATCGTCTTTCTTTTCTTTGTATATATTTTCAAGGTCTGAAATTAATATTTTGCTTTTCTCTTGAATTTTTTTAATAAGTGTTTTCTCCTTCACTTCAATGGCTGTTCTGCATAACTTAAGGTGATATTCAAAATCAGCTCTATCATTAGTAATTGAATCAAGTGTTCCTTGCAATTTGTTTTTAATGCCTTGAGCTGTATTAATAACTTCATTAGCATTGTGATTAAAATCATCAATAGCAGTTATCATTGGTATCACATTATGTTTATTTTGATAGCAACGAAGTACATGCTTACAATCATCACATGCTGATTTCTTGCAAGTTGAGCAGTAGAATTCTAGTTCCTTGTTGCAATGAGTTGGACATTTGTTGTGTTCATCTTTGCTTCCTTCTTCATTCTCATCTAGTGTATACAATGGATGGTCTTTCAATGCAGGTATTAACTTGTGTTGTTTAATGCACTCTGCACATAAGTACAGTAAACATTCAGGACAATTGTATTTTGGTTGATTATCACAGTTTGAGCATTGAGCTGGTTTTTCAGATTCAGTCTTTTTTACATATTCAAGTAGATGATTTATCATTTCATTAGAAGTGAGTTTTTTCAAATCACCTTTTGTTAGTTGATAATGCTGACCACATTTTGGACAACTCAACTTGCCCTGTGTTTGCATTAAAGTTTCTAAACAGTGACAACAGTAGCTATGGAGACACTTGAGTGTCTTTGGCTCTGTCATTCTCTCTAGGCAGATGGCGCATTTAAGATCCTCTTTGTCTAAGAATTGTAGTGCTTTGACAGCATACATCTATAAAAAAAATATATTGTAGTGTTACTTAATATGTGTATATTATTACAATATGCTAATTTTTATTAGGTGAATACTGATAAAAAGTTTTGTTTATACAAAAATGCAATACTGTATTACGTTTATGAAAAAATGTCAATTTAAACAGATGATGTTCAAATAATCCCAGGGATTTAGTAATTTTGACCTGTTGAATGCTGGTAACTTCAGTCCAAAACCAAATCGGCCTAAACCAATTTGGCCCAAACCAATTCGGCACAAACTATTGAACTATTGAAACAGCTAACTTAAATACGATAACAAAATTTACACATAGGATAAATTTGGAAGTATTGTGTACATGAATTGAATAAGCTACAGAAGTTGCTGTGTTTTTTTTTATAGGAAATGTTTCTTGTATATCTCTGTTGTCAATGTTTTACTCAATTTAATGTTTGTATAATTGAGTGTCTTTAATTTGAAAATAATATCAGTATCAAGTTCTTACCTTGAATAAGTTGTTTGTCAAATGGTAGAAATGGAAGTGTACCTGTTGCTACCTGTGATCAGTTAATGTGGGAGGTTTCTGAAATTTTGATTGAATTGTGTCAGTATAGGTACCAAGTCCAAAGCCATGCACTCAAAATGTATTGATTTTGTGATAGCTCTAAAATCAGACAATGTATTGTATTATGGTGGCAAAAAAATGCATACAACATTTATATTTTGGGAGGTTTGTTATCATTTAACATGCATCCCTGCCTAACAATGTTTTGTGTGTTAATCAAGTATAACACTAACATTTAAAACATCTTTATTTGTAAAGGATTATTACACAATCATTAGG